GATCTGGCCAACAGCTCTTCAGCATCCGGACGCGAGGCACATTTGACGTTCGGTTTTGGAGCAGCTGTGGCCGTGATCATTTCTGATAGCTTGGACGGGTGATAATCTATCGCCTCGGATGCCGAGGAGACCAGACCACCAACGAGCACGATATTCTGTGCGTTCTTCTCCATGGCTTTCAGCACGTCCTCTATTATCTCCTTCATACCAGCTACAACGCTTAGAACACGAGAGTCCACTTCTTGCGCTCCAGCCTCAATACCGGCGCCGGCCTCCTCAGGGCTACGCCGAACGCGTTGAGACGTCAACGAATGTGACCGCTGCGGAGTCTCGGGGGGGAGTTGCGTATCACTGCTTCGGGTCGTGTTTGTCACAGGGCTTATCGTATCAACTCCTTCCCGGCCGAAATCCAACGGACCGGAACGACGCCGGCCATCTTCGGCCTCATCTTGAAAAGTGCGCCTCATCGTAGAGACACGGCCCTTGTTCCTGGCCTCTGCCAGTCCAGGCAGACTGATCGCACACCACCACGATCAATTACAAGCTTGTAATGTTGCGGCAATTCTGCCGCGGGGCACCGAGCGACCTGTAATGACGGGAATCTACCCGTATTCTTTTACTTCTCACAAATCTACTGCCTCCCCCTTTCCTATCTTCGGGGATGGCTTCTTAAGTACACGTTCCCCGGGATGAGTTGGCTATCCCCAACCCTCCTTCCCGCCTTTCGCTTGCCCATCCCTCGGCGGTATACGAATGCGCTCCGCCCCGTGGTACGCGTGTCCAGCTCGCCACCTGGCAACCGAATTCCTCGTAACAGTACAGTATATTGCTCATATACGTGGCCCGGGATACAATTTCAGCTTCCTTAAAGGTGGAATTTCGCTCCCTTTCAAAGTGCTGCGCGTCCTTGAGAATTCTTTGGCCAAGGAGGCGGACAACAATGTTTTTGCGTTCCACCACACCAAGCTTATTATGCCGACGAGCAGGTCGCGCTTCGAACTTTATGCCGAAATAGCTCAAGGCTTGGGCAAAGATACGATTGAAGAACTCCATGTCTCCAGAGACTGCTCCGGGTGCTCCGTGTATGTTGATCCAATTCAACTCGAACGCCTTTGAAGAGATACCCATCTCTCGGGATGGAACTATCACTGCTACTGAGAAGGAGGTGTGAGTGTCAACTATATGAATGATGGGATGTGCTGTCAACTCCATGATGAAGAAGAAGTCGACTTGGACATGCCTATTGAACGTGGAGAGGACTTTGTTCATAGAAATCTTTTTCGATTGCAAAGGTCTTCCAGTCGACTTGCATGATGTACACTTATCGAAGGTGGAGCGGAGGGCTTGACGAAATACTTCAGTGAGGACACCCCCACGTTGACACAGCGTGATCATATCGTCAACATGGAGATGGGTGTGCGAGTGAAGCTTGTTTGCGAATCTGCGAGCAATCTTTCAGTTGTTGAACTTGCGGCTGTCGTCACCATCGCGCCTTTGGAACGCTACCAACGCTTTCTGGCTGGAGAAGTATGTCTTACAAGCACAGAGCTTGGACGGCACAACCATCAGGTATGTACGGACAGCACCAGAATCAAGCCTACACGTGGGGTCGGAGTACGTCTCAAAACTAAGTTGATGTCGAGAGATACCTCTTGTGCCCTTCGGAACAACAAGGAGATTTTCCGGACCCAAGAGGTACGATTGATGGCATATTTCATTGCCAAGGAGCAAGAAGCCATCTCCTTTGGTCATGTAGAAAGGAATTTGGACATGAAGGCCCGTCATATCGGCAATAGGTAGATCCCAAATTCCCACGACAGGTTGTGCTTCACTGCACTCCTTTCCGTATCCATGAATGAAGGGCTCGCAGTCGAGCTCACAGATCTTGAACAGTATGCCCAAAGAATTGCACAGTGCAGTTGCGGATATGATTCCGCCCACGCTACGCGGACAACCAGGATCAACAATGGGATTGGGATCCCTTTGCCCGATCAAAACATCAGAGCTTGCCCCAGGCACGGCCACTAGGCTTGACTGCCTGAGCCGGGACCGGAGCGCTTGCGAAAAAACTTTCCTTGCGGATTATTAGTCTTTGATGAAGGTCCGCTAGCTCGATTGTTTTCACGGCGTTTCTTTCGAAGTGTAGTGAGATAGCTTGGTTTAGGACACACATCTTCGCCCCGCAAATGACCTGGACTTCCACAATCAAAGCACTTTTCCGCCTCTTGGTCACGGGGATTGCGATCTTTCCTATTTCCGAGTGTTCTGGACTGATGTGTCCTCTTGAGGTTCTGGGAAGAGTTAGCAGCAGAATCCCTCTGATTTTTGGCACCTGGTAGATTGTAAGATGCCAAAAGAGTGTTAACCTTACGATCAACCGTGGCGTTGATCTCTCTAGCTGAATACTTGCCTCCAATATTGGAGTTTGGAGGTTGCGTGAGTGTACGTAAAACCAGCACAGCGTCATCTAAATTAAGAGTATGAGACCCTGATCCGAGATGAAGGTGCTGGCCACGGGAGTGGGTTGATTTACAGCGCTGGTGGGGTGCTTAAGGCCTTCTGCAGCTGGAACGAGCTGCTTGATAGAGTCAATGCACTTTGATCTGAAAGTTTTCATGTACTTGTGCCGTTCTTCGGTATCTCTTGGTACATTTCTGTCCTTTTCCAAATCAGAGAGCTTATCTACGACGTGTAACAGCTTGTCAAGATATTTCTTGGAAACTTGGGCAGTATCATCGTCTTCTTTTTTCTCTGCTCTCGCCTCTCCATGAGTTATGAGGGAAGAGGTGGCATTGACAAGGGTCCCCTCATCTAAGTTAGAATTGTTGAGGAGGGTGACCGCGAGTACCTCTCCGATCTGAGAGGAGGAAGAAGAGTTGGTATGCGGTAAGTGAGTTGCCGCCAACCCTCGGAAGCGTGACACAAAGACCCGGAGATCTTCATTACGACTTCGACGACAGGACGTTACCTTATGGAAAGAGTTGATTAGTCTTGAAACCATGGCAATGGGAGGATCTACGGCGATGGTCTTTACAATATCCCTCACCGTTTCCACCGGGTCGTCCACTTAGAGGTAATTAATGGCTCGCTTAGCTTGCGCCTCATCCACCATGGCCTGTTGATCAGGTGGAAGACCGCGCTCATACAGAGTGCGTCCGAGGATCTTAAAGATTGTTTGAAAGAGGCGATCAGATCCATTGTCATGGGCGGCTTTGACAACATCGACCCATCGACCAATCTTGCGACGCCAATCCTGCATATCGCCATCTGGCGAAAAGTAAGGAGGATCCGAAAGAGAGAATCTCTCCTTTCTCGGCTTATCTCCTGGGCCCATAACTGTGGCAGACACGGGTTGGAAGGACGGGAGAGGTTAGTTTGGTAGCCGTGCCTCAGCGGTGCGGTGGCGGAGGGAGCCGAGCGCCAGGGGACGAAGAGGCTCGGTGCAGGGCGGAGGCGGCGCGGTAGCCGCGGGAGCGAGCGAGGCGGTCGAGAGGGGCAGTGGGTCCTCGCGTGAGGCGAGAAGCGGGCAGCCGGCGAAGTGTTCGGGTACTCAAGTTGTTACCCCCGGGGATGCCTTCTTCCTCGCGAGAGTCCCCCGGTTTTTATTCCCTCGGCCGCCGCTCGGTAATCTCCCGGCGACCGCCGGCAGCAACCCTAAAATTACAGTTTGGTTGGATTAAAATACGTGTGAATTTAGGCGCATCCAACAGAGGATTGTGTACCGATTCATTTCGGGCTCTGTGCTGGCTCGCGAACACGTACTTAAAATAGACATTGGCATCCTGCATCCTGGTCTCGTACTCAGAATGCAGCACAATGCATGGATTTGCACCCCTCCCCTGCTAAAAGCGAAAGGATGTTGGAGCGGTTCCAATCGCAAATGCGAGTTGCGGAGGAGTAGCAGGTGCCTGTCGAGCATTCAGGCGCGGATTGACTCAGAGCGAGCGGTTAAGATAGTGGAGCGTATATTCGAGGACACTTCCGACGGCTCTATGGCATATCACCGATGGACTGCAGCGCGCGCAGAGGCGGAAGAAACCGGACTGTCGGAGAAGCATGGGACGGCGCTTATTTACGGTGACGTTGACTTGCCGCTTCTGTTTCAAGCGCTCGACCTCGCGTCCATTCGATGCGGGGACCGAGTGGTGGACATCGGGTCTGGTTTTGGACGGGTCGTGCTGGCGACGGCTTGCGCGTACAATGGGAAGGACGGCGCGCGGGTGCACAGCGTTACGGGCATTGAAATTCTGCCCCTGCTGCATAATTACGCGCGCGAAATGGATGACAAGATGCGGGATGTGGCCGAGGATATGGCAGTTACAAGGTTTTTGCTCGGGGATTATAGAAAGGACGAGGAGGCTCAGAGGGCGATCTGTGAGGCGGACGTCGTGTTTGCCTTCGCTACAACATGGCCGGGAGAAGATGGGGTGGCAACGGCGCTGGCGGCGACGCTCAAGGCATGCTTGAAGGTGGGGTCCCGGGCGGTGATGGTAGACACACAGATGCCAAACGAAGAGTTTCAGGGCAAGAAGTTTGCGTTAGAGCGGCAGTTCGAAGGGGATAATGAAGCGACGGGAAGCTCGATGGTGAATGTATACCGGGTGGTGCGGACGGCGGAGGACAGTTAAAGGGGAACAGGGTGGGAAGAAGAACAATTTAGAGAAGAATGCAAAATGTCAGATTATTTATTTTCCCGTTTTATTTTATTTCTCTTGGCTGCGGCATGCCATCTGCCACGGCGGGCACTCAATGCCCCGCACTCCCACCTTCCCCCCCTCCCGCACCGCGTGCTCACTCCCTCCCGTCCTTTCCTATCCCCACGAAATGTCTCACCCCCCCTCCTTGTGACTCACCCCCCCCTCCCCCTCCCCGCCCCCCTCCCCGCGGTCGTCGCTTTCATGTCGCTCGATACCTGGGCCGGCGGGCTTCCGTCGGCTGCTGAGGCCGCTGAAACCAACGCCTGGCTGCGCCGCGTTATGCAGAGCGCAAAGAACAAGGCTATGATCGCCCGTCTGGAAGACTCGCTTCATGTCTTCGTCGCTGACAGAGAACAGACCCAGCTTCCTTTTCCTCCGCGCAGCCCCTTTCATCGCAAGGTTTGTTACCTTGTCGCCAGGAGGTACGGCCTAGCCCATAGGCTCGAGCAGTATGCGGAGCACGCCCAAAGGGGGGAGGCCCAAGCCGTCAGGCTCGTCCTCCTCAAAACGCCCCATTCGGCTATTCCGGGGGAGCGGTTCGCCCAGCTTTCAGACGCGTCGGGCGCGCCGGAGGGGGGCCGCGACGTCCCGAAAGCCGCCGCGGTCGAGCCGCAGAAAGTTGTCGAGGTCGAGGAGGAGGACAAGCAAAATCGCGCCCCTCAGACTTCTACCACGTTTTTGCGAAGGCCCAGAAGCGTTCAGGGGAAGGCCGCTCCGAGGGGGAAGGCAGTGCCTACGGCTGCTTCGGGATCTTCCACGGCGACCTTGAAAAGTATTTCCGAGGAAGACTATCGAAAGTACGTACCAACTTCATCTCTACAAGGAACACATCTATAGCCAGCGTTTGTTGAGTGCGACTTGCGTTTAGGAAGCTTCTACGTTTTTATTTATTTACTAACTACAGTTTTATGTGTCTTTGTTTTATTGCGCTTTCATCTCATTGCAATGTCGTGTGCTACAGAGCTCGAGCTAGAATTTTTAAGAATCCGTCTGCACTTTTGGACGACTCGCTTCCTGATGCAGAGCTGGGGCCCTCGGCCGCTCAATGCCCGCGGATAGTCAGGATGGGCGTTCTCGCCAAAGGCCCAGTGGAAGGTTCTACAGGATTCGATCGTCGCAGAAACAGACGCATCACGCCAACCGCTACACCACAAGTTGAAGCACAGAGAACACAATCCATCATTACAAACGCTGAGAATGGAGGCCCTTTAAACGCCCCACCTCAGGCGGAAACTGGAGCTCACGATAGCCGACAAGGCAATGCGCAACTGAAAAATGTTCGTGATGGTCGCATAGCACAGCCTCAGAGCATATCGCACACAGCAGCATCGACCGCTGCGCTAGGGACTGGATTGGGTACGCATGGAGCGTTTAACGTGCCCACTTCGAACAGCCACAGAAGAACAAACCCGGGGTACACATCCCCAGACCCTACGCAGACAGACCGACAGGATCCCGATTTTGATCGCAGGTACATCAAGTGGGCGGTGCGCGCGCCACCAGCACCTGCCCATCCACCCCACCCTACACAACCGATCGCTGTCCCAGTATTTAGTCAGCTACTCTACCCATACGCAGTGCAAGGAACCACCACGCATATGCATGCGCCATCGCTGCATCTCAGGTCGGTCAATTCTGGGGGAGAGCTAGTGCAACAGGGGAATCCGGGGCAGTATCATTCCGCGCAGGTTCAGCATGTTCCTTCGGGGGCTATGATGTTTCAGCATGTTGCACAGAACGGGGGGCTAACTGGGGGCTACGATTTTAGAGATATGGGCGCGTCAGACCGCGCGTCCTATGATATCTTGCCTGTGGATAGGCTGAACGCGAGCTATCCCTATGGTAGTAGCTCCCTGCAGCATCGAGGCGTTCCTCCGCCGCTGACTAGGAACCCCTCACCAGCCTACGGCTTGGACTCCACGGTGGACTTTCCCCCGCTACCATAGCTGCGCAACGTGCCAGTAAAGCTGGAATCTTAGCACATGTATACCAAACTCACTTTGCCCGTGTTTTCCTTCGTCTCCTCCTCGAGAGTTCGGTAATGTTCTGTTCTGCTGTTCTTGCGTGGCAGCTTTATAATTGGCCTCGAACTCTGACAGATCGTTTAAGTTGCTCGCGGGCGCGGACGACTTTAGCTGGGTTATGTTGATTTCTAGCACAAAATTAGGATCGTCAGAACGATACAATTTCAACCTGTTCTGCGTATTTTGCATGTTATGATCGTATCGACTCAAAGCTACTGCAAATTTGCCTACTTGCTGAAGGGGTTGTTCAAGCACCATGTCGGTCATCGTTCGTCAATGTGTAACAAACCTGAGTCAATGAATACCCTGAATTTCGATGTACGGGCCCTATTTCCGCCACCCGAAATGAGAACTGAAATGGTACCCGTACATGACCGGCACACCACGGCAAAAATTTGACACGCGCCACACAGAATCTTGCAGACGCCCGCTCTCAACGAATAACTTGGACATACTGGCGCAGAGCCGCCTGCGCTGCAGGAGTGTCTATTTTTTTGACTCACCTAGTTTCTTATAACGGGAGTGACAAAACAGTGTTCAAGGCGGTTGCCGAAATCTCCTCAACAGCCGCTCTGCAAGCCGGAGAAGGAGTATGAATACATAACCCGTTGCAACCCTTCAATGAAGTCCCAGCGCATGTTACATAAGAGCGTTGACGATACCCTGCGCCTGGAAGACCAAGACGGACGCCGCCGCCAAGGGACTGGTCGTCATACGAAAATGAAAACGGCCGAGGGAAGAGATTCTGGCGGCAAGGCGGGTCGGTTCACCATGAGGTTCCCTTTCAGTAAGCTCGGAGGCGGGCACCGAAGCAAGGCAAAAACAGACGTGCATGGTAAAGCCAAGGAGTCGAACAAATACAAGTTTCTTCAAAAAGGACACAGCGACATGCCGTTCGGTACAGAATTGGCTTGTCCAGGCTCGCCGGGACGCCTTGATTTGAGACGTTCTTCTCGCGCGGGGAAGGCCCTCTCGCCGGGGAAGAGGACTTCTAAGTGGAACTCGTGTGGAAGGCCAAGGTCGTTGGCAGATTTAAAGTCACATCCACTAAGATCGGTGAAATCGGAGGAGTCGCTCAAGTATAATGGTTTGAATGGAAAGGAAGGGGGTCCGCCACGTAGGCAATATCAAAGGGATGACAGCTCTCGTCAGCTGAACATGCTGTGGGAGGGAGAGGGCGGGGAGGAGTCTCGTTCCAGGTTATTTTCGTCGCTGCTGATGATTGAAAATTACGATCATGACTAGCAGGGTGTGAGAAACGGATGTGTCCAGGTGAACACGGTGTTGCGAATCGAGAACAGTGAGGTAGACAGAGCTTGCGCTGGAATTGTTTGGAAAGACTGGACTCAAAATGGCAAGGCATGAGAGTGGCACTAGCCGATGTCCTTGGCCCCCAAGGCCAGTGATGACCGTGTAGGGTAAGCAGTGCAAGGGGCCCGGATTTTTTGGCAACGCGAAGGATGACAAAGCAAGTGAAGCAAATGAGGTGAGAATGTCTTGGACAGAGTGAAGTCTACCTGCGTGCTCAAACAGGGAGTCCAGGAATCTCGCCGCATCTGAAATTTCGCGAAGCAACAACGGCGTAGGTCATTACGGTATGCAGCATAGGGTAAATAGGTGTAAAAAATGGATAAAATTTCTTCATTGTCACTTCTGCTGTTGAGATCCCCACAAGATCGAGTTTAACATTGCTGCTCGCCATTCCGGTCTCCTTCCCCGGCACTACAGGCCGGTTCTCCCCAGGTCAATGGTTGGGGACGTAGTGTCGTATCTACGTGCCTGCCCCTCGCCCCGAACCCTTCCGGGAACTCTCGACCTTCAAAAACATCGTATTCATTCTCGAAATACCTCCGCATCGATGGCGTTTCTCACTGCAGCACCGGTGGTCCACCATGCGCTCCTACCTGCCAAAGTAACTCCCCGTCGCGCACGCACGTCCATGCTTGCCGACCGACCAAAGAATTCCAGTTCGTGGCAATGGCTTGCCGCCGTGACCGCCGGCGCTGCTATTGGTGCTGCCACGGCAACAGCCGTCACCATATCCATCCACGCTCCACATCTCCAAGCAGATGCCTACGTCCAGCCCATACCGCAAGTCCCCGCCCTTCCTGAGTATCTTCCCGCGGAGCAAGGCGTAATTTCCTTGTTCGAACGCGCAACACAAAGCGTAGCTTTCGTCACCACGTACACAGAGTCCCGTTCCGGCTTCTCGTTGAATCCGATGGAGACCCCAGCTGGCACGGGAAGCGGCATCGTTTGGGACACTGACGGGCGCATCGTCACCAATTTTCACGTCATTCGCGCCGCCTCAGGAGCAAAGATCACCTTGGCTAATAAGAAGACATACGATGCTGAGCTCGTCGGCTCTTCGGCAGACGATGACGTCGCTGTCCTCAAAATCAAAGCGCCAAGGGACGAGTTATTCCCCATAGATGTTGGAGACAGCAGCAATCTCCGTGTTGGACAAAGCACGTACGCAATTGGAAATCCATTCGGCTTGGATCACACACTCACTACTGGCGTACTTTCGGGGCTCGGCCGTGAAATGAAGAGCCCCACGGGGAGGACTATATCGAACGTCATTCAAACAGAAGCGTCGATAAACCCCGGGAACAGCGGTGGTCCCCTTATCGATGCCCGAGGACGGCTCATTGGAATGAATACTGCAATCTACTCACCAAGCGGCGCATCCGCTGGTGTCGGCTTCGCGATTCCAGTCGATACCTTAAAGGTCATCGCCCAAGGTCTGATTGAAAACGGCAGAATTGTCCGTCCTGTCATCGGCATTAGCTATCTCGAGAGCAGCCAAGCACGTGCACTCGGCATTGAAAAGGGTGTTTTGGTTCTAGATGTGCCAGAAGGTTCTGCTGCCGAAAAGGCTGGCCTCCGAGGAACTTCCAGGATGACTTTTGGATCAATTGAGTTGGGGGATATTATCATTGGAATTGATAATGAAGGTGTTAAGAACGAGGGTGATCTCTTTAAAGCGTTAGACAAACACAAAGTCGGTGATACCGTGCGCATTCGCGTGCTCAACAACACCGATGGCGAACGTACCGTTAAGTTGAAACTGTCCGCATCACAGAAGTAGCACACGTTTTACACGGGAGGAACAGCGTGCTCAAAATTGGAACTTGCAATCGGAACTTGTACATTATGAATAGCATCGGCTTCAGTTTTGAACAGCTTCAATATTTCGCTCGATACTTCTTGTTCCATTGTTTCCACCAAAGCTTTGATTTGTATGAGCACAATTGGCTACCACAGTGTCTCGAACTAATCCCCTCCATCAGACAGAGGATGGCTTCTGTTTCCCATTTGCCAAGCAAAACATCTCCTGGACAGTCATCCAAACCATGTCCAAGCCTCTTCAAGAATTCCACAGATGTCATGCGCATAGAATGTGGAAGCCATGTTGGGCTCTCGCAGTACAAATATAGAACAAGAGAGACTCTCTTGCTGTGTTTTCTGCAAGCATTTTTGTCAGAGCACTCACAGAATATTTATATCTCGGCACCCTCCCACATGATACAGGCGCAGTATTCTTACTCTGCTCAAAGTGTGCAAGTACTGTAGACCCACTTCTCTAGTTCACACTTGTTGATAATTGTTTCCCGATTCGCAATTCCCGTTTCGTGGGGTCCCCGAGCCTACATATTAGAGCATCGTTTTTTACCATAATACTTCACAGAAATCGAAAGGAGATCGAATGGTTGCGAGGTGTTTGATGGTCGACTCTTGTCACAATCCACACCCTTGCCCAAAGTATGGGTGTTTCTACTACTGAAAAAATGACGGCCGGCTCCCAAGGTTTGTATGTTTTGAGAGAATACGGATGGATGGATGTCAAACGGCATAGAAAGTGCAAAGAGTTTACTGAGGCCGCTGCCAAGACTAACATGCTCATGTTGGAAACCAAATGGAATGCCTACTGCGATAAGGAAGTAAACCTCACGACATGACATATGCTGCAACTGCTGATCATTATCACGGAAATGCTCATGTATGATCACAAATAAACCTCGGCTCTTTTACGCTTTCAATCAGAAATTTCTTCTCTTGAAAATGAACGTTGTCCCAAAGAGTATTTCCTTGACAAACACGGAGCCTGAAAGTCTCCCGGTAAGCAACTTTTTTTGACTTTTCAACGAACGGTTGTTCTAAGAAAAGAAGATAGACATGCCCAACTTGAAGAAATACACCGCAGTCGCCCACCTTTGACGAAGCGTAGAACACAGTTGACATCGGGCCGCACCCCTTAAACGTCTTGATCAGTGCTAGTCCATACTTTCGAACTTTTGCGTCATCGCTTGGCAAGGCGCATGCTCCACCAGGGTTGGACAGACACGGATTTAATACCGACGTCACATTCGCTTTCACTACCGCGACCGTTTCAGTGTTATAGTATCTTTGCCTAAGGGACTTTGAAGGGCACTTGCAAGCCAGTGCAATCACAGCTCCAACGTGAATCAGAAAAAATACTTGTGCAAATAAGTGAGACATATCGATTTGTGAAAGGGTCAACAAAAAAGGACAATGTGATCTTGGGTTTCACGAACTCAGCACAGGGAGGGTGCGTATGGTCTTCGAAAAAGATACAAGAACTAGACTGTCGTAGTGGCTGGAGGACGCGAAGTGACGAATCTCTTGAAAGGTACGGCTATGGTCGGGGTATCACCAGCTTTTTAAATACCTTGGAATTCGCGATCAGAAATATTTTCCTCACGTCCCCCCTTCCGAGGGGACGTCATCTGTCCCACATGCTCTCGGGAATGAATAGCACGACTCCCATGCTAAATTTTAAATCTTTTACCATCTTCTGCGAGAGGAAAAAAGAGAGATCATCGGGAATAGCTTTAATGGACTATCGCTTCTCTCTAGCTAGAACGAGCAAAGATAATAAGCTGTACTTTAAACTGTACCGTAAAATTCAGTTTCGGACAAAACGTTATTTTCTCACCATGTGAATTTTCTTTTTCATGCGAGCAAGGGTTATTTCATGGGTCCTGTACAGACAACACGAATGCCTCTCAAACCTCGCGATCAGAAGACCGTCTATCTCTCTACACACTCTCAACTTCGGTCAACATGGCGTAAACGAATGATGCAGCCGCGAGCCGATTTCTACAATGCTATGAATCGACGTGTCCTGATCTGAAACAGAAGACAAAGCATTAATATTCTCAAAGTAGCACCAAGGGAGACTCACGCTTGACATTTAGAATCCACTCCCATCGCAGTAATAAAAACGTATCATGCTCAGGATTCGTAACAAGATAGGCGTTCCAGCGAGAAGGAGCTCAGCACAGAAAGAAATGTGGCATGTGCAGCATGGATGAAAAGTTTCGCAAAAAACAACGGCTGGTACAGTTTGGAGAGAAGGACAACAGCAATAAAGGCATGTGATATGCACATTGCCGTTTCCGTATATTAGTCAGCAGGCATGAATTGTACGGCACACCAGTCCTCCAATCATTGAAGCGGCACATGAAAATTTGAGATGACGGACAAGAGAGAAGTTCTCTCTCTCTCTTCTCTCAGAGAACCATCATCTGCACTCGCCAAAACATTATAAAGGGATTTAATAGTTGGAACTTTGTGATTTTTCCCCCACACAGATATGATATGTCCGATAGTGTCAAAATTTATGGAATTGAAGAAACGACCTGCCGAAAGTCTGCTGGAATTCGTAGACTTATCATTTTTCTTGCACGTTTACAACAAGTATCAGTATTCATTCACGATCCCTCTCCTGTGAGGGGTGCTTTTTCGTACTTGGCAGAGTGCTCTGGCTGCATTCCGCCATTTTGGAACACCAATCCTGAAGCCAGGGCATGAGTGAAATACCACTGTACGAAAGGCGGGAGACATTAACTGGCAGTTTCAATAGCCAATTCTTCTTAGGCTCTATAATGCAATATACACAGTACAGTACCCTTGGTACTGTACTGTGTTCAGTAAGTCATCAAGAGAAGTTATGGGCTTTTGAATGACATATGTGAGAAGCAGAGAGTTGAATGGTTTAATGATCATAATTCTAGATCACCTGCACACCTTCTTTGTCCCACGGCGAAGTGGAATATGGACAGCGCCATCTCTTCTGGCAATCGCCAAGACATACTCATTTCTTGTGCACGAAAGTATGTAACAGTCAATCAGAATTCTGACACGGCGCGTGATAGTCAATTTCTTAAGCTGAATGCCTTGTTAGAAGACACAGCTGTGCATGGATCCGTGAAGACCAACCAAAAAACCCCACCGCAGCAGTGAGATACATCCTGTCCAAATCCTCCCCTCAAATACTCTTGCCCCTGTCGGAAAGGGACGAAGACATAATCTCAATCTGTGTTGTGTCTTTTCAAAACGTGGGGCCAAGAAGTAGATAAATGGATGCGCATGCTGTAAATATTAGGACGGCTGTGGTAGCTAGATACTTCAAAACTGCGCTACTTCATCCCTCATACTCTTCCGTGTGCCACATCCTAACACGAATATCGCGGACATCTACTTCCGCAGGATAATCTCATGTTTTTGAGGCAGAAGCGAACAGTTTGTCCTTTTTAGGTAATAACGGCTAACTCAAGCGTCTCAACCCTCTCGGCTCATTCGCACTCACAGGTTAGATATTGAGCTGTGAAATACGACAGGAAACTCTACTTGATATCCAGGGTGCTCGTGAAGTCTCCGTATTCTCTGCAATCTTTTACAAAAAGCAGATGAACCCATTGCTTTTGTGCTGCTTGATTGCTGGTTCTCTATATCTCACAACTTTTCTCCACTGCAAAGCCCCCTTCGGACTCTTGACTTTCCTCGAATGAACTATCCTGTACAAGAATGTTGGAGAGCTGCAACGATGCGTGCAAATCCACGAAGTAAGAATGTTTTTTCTTTGCATGTCATGACATGCAAAGAAAAGACATTCTTACTTCATGCGGTGAAAAGGGTCGAATTGTTCTGATGAAGTACTTTATTCGAAGTTTTTTTGTTGTCAGAAGTCTTTCAGCCATATTGATTATCAAGATGGCGAGTTAAACTGTCTTATACAACCCATGATTCTACGTCAATTGGATGCTTCTTCTTCTCCCGGTATGCCTTTCGAATTTGTGAAAAGCGAATACCTAACATCTACGCAACGGGAACGATGCATCAAGCAAAATCATAGATGTCTTGACCTTATGACTATATCGTGAACGAATATTTCTTTCGATGCTTCATAGATTCCTTTTGTTGTTCCCTCGCACTGATCAGATTTGTTGCCATGCCTCTGTTTCTGTGTACAATCCTCCTTATCATTGTTAGAGTCGATTGTACAGAAACTGCTGTTGTCGTGTGCTCAAAGCTCTCCAGTTGTAGTGAGACTGACAGGCATCGATGGGATATATCGCTTTTTGCCAATTGCTTGCTCTTGAAATTCGACGTCGATCTGGCAGATTCAGCATATACGTCCCTCCTTTGCGTAGCCGTACTCCGCAAAGGGAAGGATTCTCAACAGTTTGAGCAAAAAACACATCACCAGGATAAGATCCTCGGAAGACTTTTGTGGTTTTGAGATAATAAATGCGAACTGAATGTTTCCGATCACTTGGCTTGCTGCAAAGAGGACATGTTACGCGGTGCCCGTAAACGAAAGCTTTGACGACTATATACGCTTTGTAATACTGCCGATCAAAGTCGGTATAGCTCCGTTGGCATCGACACCCTCTTCCCGGACGAAGACTCCCACTTGATACCGTCTTAAGAACAAGTGCAAGAACGCAGGAGCTCAAAAACATCCCTACAAAACGCATGAGTGCTGGAGAGGCAATGTATTCTCCCAATCCTTGGTTTTGACGTCCGTAGAGAACACAGAATCCTCACTTGGCGAATGGTTTGGTTAGAATAGCCGCTTGATCGATGAAGTAGGCTAGGCAACTCGTCGAAAATCACCTTTGTCCTGTCCATGCTAAAAAGAATAGTATCGAGGTGATCGGTTGAAGACGCCATGGACAGCTCAACAACGAATATGGCAGAACCTTCAGAGTCTACCCACAAGGTATGATTATGCATAAGGACTAGTACTATAATAAATGAAAGGAGCACGGGAGAGGTTCTGTGATTGCAGGGATACTTTGTGTAACTGCAACCTCTTGATGCACTCAAGTAACACAGGAAGGAATATTGGACCAACCATGCTTTACAAGAAAGCAGGAATGAGCGAGAGGGTATTGCAGTTATTCCTTCTGGAAGACAGTAATGATCTGAATACAATAGAAGAGAATCTGAAAGTGCTTCACAGTGTGCATTGGTGAACTTCATACGTGATGTTAAGATTATGAAAGATATGCAGAATAAACGAGGGGAAACTGAGAAGCTTACTTGTGTATGAATCGTTCTAGGAAGATGTGTATACAAGGGTGTGTCTTTGAAGAGAAAATCAATACGGAGGCATGGCAAGCTGCGAATTTGTCAAGGCGCCAATCACTCCCTCAGAAGAAGACCATATGCATAGACTTGAGTCTTTCTTATAACGGTCGCACTTCAAATGTCTAGAGAGTGTTGATATACATCCAATTCAGTTGAATCATTCATTTTACAATAATCATATATGGTGAATTTCCTGGATCATCTGCCCGTGAAAGACTGCCCACAAGATGAATGCCTCTGAACGATGGATAGCTGGTCTTTGAACAGCTGTGAAATTCGAAGCTGAAAATGATGGCCGGGATGCGGACAACTACTTTGCTTGTTGTCTTACGGAGAAAGCAACTGCATATCCTTTGCCAGGTCCAGACGAGTAGATGTATTGTCTATTGATTGAAGTGATTGCTCAGGATTTCATGCCATCGAAAAAGAGCTTTTGCTCGAAACTTCCGGCTTGGCAGGTATAGAGGGAAATCAGGGTTTCGTTTCAGACTATTATCGACATATGAAAGCAACGAACTTCTCGACAGCATGCAATGCCATTTCAGCTCATGAGATTCCAATG